CCCGTATCCTGATTTTGAGGTTTCCATATCTCCCGCTCCAGGCCATATCTTCCCGCTTTGAAAAAAATCAAAAAAAAATTGAAATAGAATTTTGAAAAAAATGTGATAAAATATATACAGTTAGTTAGTTAGTAAAATATTTATTAAAGTAGTAGTTAACAATATACATACTAAAATAACATACAATAATTCACAGTCCCGCCGGCTTCGGCGTATGAGAGACTCAAGAAAGCAATGTAAAAATATATAAAAAATATGCTCAGATGTAAAAGTTTTAAATATCATATTCTCTTCTATTGCACATTATTTTATGTATAGTTTTTGCCAATGGTCTTTGTAAAATAGAATTGTTCATAATTGAGCAGTATTTACTATTTAGCTAGACTAGATAATGTATTAAAGTCAGTTATTTCATTTTTGCAAAGTTCAATAAAATATTATTATTGTATCATGTATATTGTTTTAAAACATGTGTATAGATCATCTTGTTCTGAATTTTTGAAAGAGTGATATGCAAATTTGGAAAAATGTAAGTTAACATGAGAACTTTGAAAAAAACATAATAGTTTTAAAACACTTTATCTTGATGTTTGTGCTGCTTCAAATCAGAAATTCTCTTTGTGTAGCTTTTGATAAAGTGAAGCTTATCCTCAATTATCCCACATTCGCTACACAACAGTTCACTTATTAAGTGGGGTTTGGCTTTGGTTTTGAGTACCGTCCAACTTCTATTTGTAATTTATGCGATCTCATTATGAGCCTAGCCTAATGCATTTCTATACTTATTTTGAATGTTTGAATATGGTTCTTTGGAGATATAATTTTTGAATTTTTGAATTTTATATAGGTCCAAAGTACAGGAAAAGTAAGATTATCCTGTTTTAGATCATTAGATTATCCTGTTTTAGTTTTAGGGCATAATGAAATGAAAATATAATCCTCTTATCACATGCACCTTTTCCAAATGATTAACAAACTTAATATCTAGATTTTATAAGAATAACGCTAAATCAGACATGCTCTTATTAGCAGCAGGTGCTATAGAAACAAATACTCAAAAAAGAACTAAGTGCAATAGACGTAAAAACGTTTCAATGTTATAAACGTATTCATGTACTGGACACGAAGGCTTATGCAATGTAAACCACACGATACATTTTTGAAAGTAGTTGTATTATATCACAATGTAGGCCTATATTGAAACTTACGGCAAATTAACTCTGCTGTTTAGAAAATACCCCTGCAAGTAGATCTTTCAAATCATGAATGTCTCTACTTATTTTAATGTAACCTCCATGGGGAGTAAGCCAACCGCCCTCTTATATTCTGTAGCCTATATTAGAATATATTTTAATATAGAGCATATTGGAGAGCGACGGGAGGGGGGGGGGGTTTCTTCCCCGTGGCAACTCCTACAGATGAATAAGACAAACTACCACACTATGTAGAATCATTGGATTATGTGTAAAAGTTTCTTTTGAAGCATTTTTCTATAGCCATTTTGTAGGAAAGAAATTATGAAAAAATGTATCTTTTAATTTGAAGTATGGCCTGAATCGATTGCAAATTTCACATCTGATGTGATATACCATTTTTGTCATATTGTGAAATTATTTAATTTGCAATCGATTCAGGTCATAGTGTATTCTAGGTATTTTTGTGAAAATCAACATAAACCAATGGCCTCCATTGGAATCTGATGATATCCACAGTCATGTTAAGTCAATGGAGCACATCCAATGTCAAGTCAATACACCCTTGCTGAACTTAATGACCTAAACCTCAGCCCAAGATTCTCGCAATCTTTATCCAATCAGCGTTTGCGAGTGTGTCGACTCACGTATAAAAGGCGAATCCAACTCAAATCCATACAGGGGTGTATGAGGTACTCGAATAGTAAAGAGCTCGTGAAATCTGAATTTATATGCACATGGTCAATGTTTACACATGTTTGGAGTTATTGAAGAAAATGTGATATGGGTGTGGTTCCGAATTTGAAGTCATTGCTGGAAAATATGATTTTAATACGTGAAATTATATCTATAATACAGCACTAAAAATAACAGTACACATGAAGTACATGTATGATTGTGTTCAGAAATGTTTGAAACCCTTACGGAAAATTCTGTCTGCATTTTGTCACCATTGCTCTTTCTTCCCGCATTCTAGTGCTGTTTGAATGAATATATTAATTAATGTATTTCTAACTAAAATATATCACATTTTAATAAACCACAAACATTTAGATCATAAAAAATTATTCAATACTTGAGTGAGCACGATATGCAAGGGTTACTAAGTTGACACAGTAAATGACCACTGATATTGTGTTAGTCCATGCACACAGCGAACACCCCTCACTTTCATAGTGAAGTGACTAATTGGTTTATGTTTACGTTTTAATGTGTTTTGGGTTCCTTGTTAGAGCAAGGGGGGGGGGGCAGTAAAGTAGACTAACATGTTTGCATGGCAAATTTTGATCGAATATGTGAGACACTTTAAATATTTTCCAAAGTATTATGTGACATTGTATTCTTTGTTAAAAATGATTCATTTTGTTCATAGGGAAATCATAATGGAAAGTGCACCAGACCCTTTAAATTTGTCTTTTTCATTCCACAAAGAGAAAAAACAAGTTTGATTCCTTTCATTGTCTACGTCTTGTCGGTATGCTGGTAATTTTTAGTATTGACCTGAATGACGAGTGAGTGAAAATTCCTGAAACCTGTCCATATTATAAAGTATATACACATTAAAACCTGTCTAAGTGAACACCTGTATCTAGTGAACACCTGTCTCTAGTGAACACCTGTCTCCAGTAGACACCCTGTAGCATAAATTAAGTACCCTCTCTGTAGTGAACACCTACCGACACTGAGGTTTTTTCTCGGCAAAAAAGCTCAATATGTACGCAGGTTTTACTAAGGGTATACCTTTAATCTTTTCATTCTATTGGCCTCCACGTCATATGGCTATTTGACTACTTTTGATTTTGACTGTTTGAAGGTTTTAAAGATAAAGGTATGCCAAGGTTAAGAGGAAAAACATCTACAGCGAGCCAACATATTTGTATATTAAATCCAATAAATATTTATACATATAAAATATATTATACATTATATTTACTGATCTACCGAGTGGTCTCAGCTCGTTTTGTCATTTTTAGCTAGACTTGTCGAAAAACAGTATCATTTACGAAATGATCCCTTTTCTTTTCTCAATAAAAATTGATGTAAAAATAAGAAAACGCATCGATTCTATGTTTAAAAGGTTCACCCCTTCATAACGTTGGCTGTCCGTATTTTAATTTTATAAAGAAGTAATGAATCAATTACCTAGAGTTCGCACCTCCGTCATATTCCCATCGCATATGATTGATCTAGGCCTTGATCTGAAAAGATCTTCACAACTTTAACGAAAAATGCAGAAAATGCGTTTTTTACACATAATTAATGACCCCTGCTAAAAAGCAAACACGTGAGGCCAAGGCCTTAAATAGTGGGACGTACTCGTATATAGTTTTGCACTAAGAACAGGAAAGTGTATTTGATTTCCATTAAGCCTAATCTTTTATTCACATTCCTTTTTAGTTTTTATTGTTTGTCTTTAAAAAGGTGACGTTTTACAAAAAAAAAAATCTCGTGATTCACAATCGAATTCATTTTACAACTCGGTCAAGCATTTTATAGCTCTCTACTCATTGATTTGACCTTGTCAAACGTGAGAATTTTTTGTGGGGTAAAACGGAACCGTAAAGGTACAATGCAAACTTTAAACCACTTTGACTTATAACATAGTCCATTAGTCCTAGCAAATGTTATTAAAATGTGCCATGTGAAAAAGTTGATTTGAAGTACTTTTTGTTAAAAGAATTGTGGATGTACACTCCCCCCCATAAGTTTGGCAACCTTAGCTCCCCCATTGAACTACGTGTTTAAGCCTCTTTACGTTTGAATTTTTATTTACTTTACCTGCGATGAGATTACTTATTGATATTGATGGAAACGTAACTTGACTTTATTTCCAATACCTCCATAATTTTCCAATTTTTTCCTCAATTACAATAGGTCGAAAATTGATGATAAATTTGATGAATTTTTGAAAATCGTCATTCCCATGTAAACCAATGGGAAATGTTCTTTTAATTTTTTGAATACTTTTTGTTAAATCAACCAACATAACTATAATATTGAGAGGTCTAAAAACATATTGTATAAGGCTATTTTGTTCCAAGAAGGTTCGGAAAGACATTTCATTTCATTCTTAAGAATTGGTAGACAGAAACAAAAACAATTGCAGAAAAAAACAAAAAATGTTAACAAAAACAGTTAATATATAAAATATATATAAATTATTTTCGCATTGAATTGTTGACAATCAGTCAAAAACAATTGCAGAAAAAAACAAAAAATGTTAACAAAAACAGTTAAATAAAATATAAATAAATTATTTTCGATTTGAGTTGTTGACAATCAGTCTTTATATAAAGGACCGTGTTTTTTTATGTAACGGTATATCGAACGGATGAAATAATAAATGACTTATATGTTGATCTCTTCAATGGATTAGAAAAAATAATGAGTTTACATTGTTATTTGATGATCTATAAATCTAAATTTTTGTTTCAAAAATGGCGGGAAATTCAAATATTTGAAACTTTTTTTCATTAAATGGTGATATGATTTGATTGAACAAACGATAGTTCAATGATTAAACTTCATTTTCAAACGAGGCATTTAATCAAATATTTACAATGTGTTTTATAAGAACAAAGGAAATTGATGGCCAATCTTTTTGTAAGTCGAGTGGAAGTGCTGTCTATCTTGTGGATTCCAACACAGGCAACATCTACAATGGACGGACCTACAAATGTATATATTAATTTTACTATTCAAATAGGCTATATTATTTCTCAAAACATTTATGCAAGCTTATCAAATGGGGGTTTATTAAAATCTGGAGAAGGTATAAATAATCCAAAATACTAAATGTGGATACATCCACATTCATAATATAATGAGAACGCATTTAAATATATTGTTAATTGCAGCTAAGACGCCTGACTGCCTGTGGGGGTCACTTTACCATACGGGATATATATCGGCATTTCATTGCACCTATGCATGGGAGTCCCGGGTGGGGTGGGAGGCTGAGCTGGAGACGTACGTTTATAATTTGTGGACGATCTCATTTTTCTTGATTTCTTTCCCCCATTTTGTTTTCCTTCTTTGAAACCTTTTCGTTTTGGTTTACCCGAGTGCTTTCTCACGATGAAAACATCATCCGAATGGGAAAAATAATCCAATAGTGTGTCATTTTGAGCGATATCTGTGATTGTTTCTTTATAAAGCGGGTCGGCATTTGTGACGGTTGCTTGTGTCCTCATTTTGTATGGTCTGCTATCTTTCTTCTTTATCTGTCTTTTGTATTGTTTCTCTGATTCTTCATCAAATGGTCTTGGTGAAATAGTACTCGGTCTATCTATGGGAGGTAGTTTAAGTTTGCTTGAGGTTCGACCACAGGAGTTAGTATCAGTCTTATAAGAATAGCTACGGTTTGAAATCTTCGTGAAATGCACTTTTCCATTTGCCTTCTTGGGCGTTAACATTGTCTTTGTGAATTTCGTCTCGGCGTTCGATTTCCTCGAATCTTCTTTCTGTCTATGAGGTGATATACTTTTGGCCTCTAAGATGAGTTGCTGATGGCCGATTGGATCTGTATACCTCCGTTTGTACTCTGCCTTGACGGCCTTGTATTCGTTATCTTTTGTAAGACACGTTGCTTTCTTGGATAGGTTTCGAGTTACGTCATATTTGTTCGGGTGTTCCATCGTATCAGGCATGCTCTCCGATTGTATACTTTCACATGTAGTTGAGCTTGAGACTTGAGTAATGTTGGACAGCTTTATTGTGTCAGGTCTGTTCTGTGATGGCATAGGAGATACGGGTCTGTTGTTGGTGTTATCAGGGCAGTCATAAGAAATAACATCGAGAAAATTACGATCGTGTGTCTCCGATTCTGGAAATATCTCAAACGCTGGGCTATTATGAGAGACTAAAACATCAGTTTCATAACGTTCGTGTTTGACAATGTCTTCTTCATTTACATGCTTGGGTTCCGGTGATCCTCTAGGTGTAATAAATATAACATCTAATGCGTTTATGTTTCTCAAAGATTCATTCCCCGTTGCCTTAGTTTGGGAAGTTTTTCCTTTTGTTGCCTCTGAACCGTCGGTTTCTATGTCATCATTATCATAAGCCGGCTCTATATCTATAACAGGCAGTTTGATTGGTTCTGAATATTTTAACATTGGTTTGTCCTTAACGCATTTTTTGTGGAGAGCCGTAACAGGCTGGGCAGACACGATATGTTTCGAATATGCATCTAATGACTTTGATATATCTCTTTCATTCTTTCGTCGGATCTTTCCTTCTTTGAAATTGCCTCCTGTTGGTAGTCCAACGGCACTGGTTCCTTGTTTATCATATAGATACACGTTTTTGAAACGAGGAGTTAGGGAATCAAGCAGAATCGATTTCTGACCTCCTGTATGAATTCTCATCTTAATTGAGCGAATTTCCAAGTGATTACTCCCATCACCTCTCTGCCACGTACCAACAGCGCAGTTATTTTTATCGCCCATCGAGCGTCTTGTTTCCGTAAGAAGACGACGCCATCTTGGGGAACCAACTATTGAAGGCTTCAAAGTTACGTTTAAGCCTACACGTTCTACTTCATCATTGGAGATACCATGCTCCTCCTGTATGTGCCTCTTACACAACTTTGTAACCCAGTCGCTAAAGGATCCAATATTTTGGTTTGGTTCTTTCATTCTTATTTCGGTATCTAATGTTTGAGGCAATTTCGACTTCAAATCTCATATTTTACGTCCTTGAATTCTCTCTAAATGTTGTCATAATCATCAATCGAAACCATTCTATCAGTACATTGTGTTGCGTGAAGTTATATCTTTAAACCAGATCTTGTTACTTATTTGATATTTGCCCATACGTCTTGTATATGTCTTATACGATGGTCGTGTCTTCTCGATCCACACTTGGTATCCTTATTGATCAATGTACCGATGATTATCTCTCTTTAAGTCTGATTGCAATACCCTATTAGCCATCTTCAGTAATTTCAACTTTATTACACTGCAGTCGTGCATTGATTTTCAATTTCGGATTCATTAGTACAGAATAGTGGTATCTTCAATTAATTGGATTGGTATCTCTTTCCGAGGTATATTCAAAGAAATCCTTAAATACTATCATTTTACTTCACCGTTTCCGGTGTTTGATCCTATTAGAAAAATGTACTCCTCGCGCTTGATATGAAAAGGTCATTCTAATGTTCGTGCATCAATTAAAATTCCATGAATTTGTCGAAACCAAGTGGCGTTATATATATAAGATAATAAACACACAAGCCAATAATTTTTGATATTCCAAATATCAATTACGAATATCATTAATATCATACTGTTCTGTCGCTAATATTGTGACTCTGATATCATGTGTAATTCCCTACGTTTGGTCATTAACACTAAACGCAGCATGTTCATTGATGTACATGCTGTCAATCTAGATATTATTGTACGAAGTTACATGCCTCTAATATCTAACAATATCGTCAATTATTATAGACGTCATCCTTTATTTAAACGGCATTTACGGAGAGTATTCACCAGTTCACTATGAATACGTATGCTTCAAAAATGGTAATTATGCGTAAATAATTAGCGTCGAGTCACATCTGTTCAGAGTGAAATCCATTTGCAATCGTCATGCAAGTCATCCCCAACAGCTAAACATCAACAAATGATCGAGACGTAGGTTTTAATGGAGCTCAGCAATATATAACTCGAAGTATAGCGTAGTATAGCATCACATATCACTAAATTGCATAATAAAAGCGCAGTTAATTAGTATTATATATTCACATAATATGTGGAATGTTTTTTCCATAGTTATTCATTCTTTCTCATGTAAATATAATGCAATTGAGATCATAGATTAAGTTTCCATATACAAAAAATACAATTACAGTTATGTAGTTATGTATGTTGATTTGAATAAGATTACAAGTATTGTTGATTGATGAAAGAAATATGTGGAATGTGTCATTTGTTGTGATACTTAGCTAATGACAGAGACGATATACATCTGCTGCTGCCTCTGCGTTCCATTACATTAGTTTCGTCCATCTGTTGAGTACTAGTCCACGAAGTACCTTTACATTGCGAGTGATTATTTCAATTACCCAACTTCATATTGGAAGAAAAATCCATAGTAAGGAAGCAAAATAGAAAACAGAAATATGTTCACCTGTCTATGGGATTGTAACATGGATATGTTAAAACGATAAATGTCAAGTAGGTGAGCACCGCACAAGTGCCGAACTTTCTCCCGTATCTGTATAAATAAAACAAAAATATCAGAGGATGTTCAATAAGTTTAATATTCTTGACTGCTTCAAAGCAATTGTTGAGGATTTCAAAATTCTTGAATTGAAAAAAAACAATATACCGACGGAAGTAATTTCTGGATAGGAAGACGCGTTATCCATTGAAGCCACAATCCCATTGATTCTCCAAACCCCAAGAATTTTCTTGAGCATTGACTCCGTTGCCAAAAGTTACGAGCTTGCCAGGACTCGAACCTGGAATCTTCTGCTCCGTAGGCAGACGCGTTGTCCATTGCGCCACAAGCCCATCATCTGGCACGATTTATTTCACTCGCTACCTTGAACCAAACTGAAGAGTCCGCCTTTTTATTCACGCTCGAAGTTCTGGAAGTCTTCTTGTCGAGTACTTGAAATTCGTAAGTATCCAAGATCATTGCCATAGTTAAAAACAACATAAATAACTAATCTATAAAATATATAAACAAAGCAAAAATAGGATGTTTGACAGTCTTCAGAGTTATTCTTGACGGCGTCAACGGAATTATTTCGGCGTTCAAAGTTTTTCTAGACGGTATTCAGTTATAAAATTCTTGACTTAGGCTCAAGCCCTGACCACAAGCCCATTGATTCTCCAAACCCGGTGAGCTTTCTTGAGCATTGAGCAGTGACAATCGGCATTGGCTTCCTTGCCAAAACTTACGAGCTTGCCAGGACTCGAACCTGGAATCTTCTGCTCCGAAGGCAGACGCACCACAATCTCATTCTCAACTTCCGTAAATTGCACTCGGTATTTTGTACCGAGCCGATATTCTTTCTGGAAGAATCGGTATGTCTTTCTTTAAAGATCGATATGTTTTAAAGTAATAAAAAACGGAATGATGTTTTTAAACGGAATGTATGTTTTTTATGTAATTATGTAGGTATTCTTAAGTTCTGGGGTTTTCCCTCCTCTTGGGTGAAATGTGAACAGATCGTGCAACTTGGTATTTGAGCCATGTAAACTGAGTAAATTAACTATTTAATTTTTTTTACAATTTGTCAATATTATGAATTGGGATTTATCTCGAACTTTTTCAGAAAACCTGAAAATCCTTGAAAATTTATTAAATATAAATGCAAATCAATATTTCGGTAATAGAGAAAATACACACAGAGTTCGAATATACCATCAAATATATTCAATGGATAAAAATTCAAATCTCCTAAATTCTCACTAAACCGAGGCTTCAACGAGATTTTCAAATCTTCTTAGCTCCACGACAAAATATGGAACATCCAACCAACAATCCTTACATGACGTTTACCTAACCTGCTTATTTTACACTTTTGCTCATTTCACATTTTTCGTAAAATAGATCGTGTCTGAGTTATACTTGTAAACACGGTATCTATTATTCTCATACCTTGTTTTCCTCATTCATACACGTTTTGTTTTTTCTTGGGATCTACAACCCCCTCAAAAAGGTTGGAAACTTTGATCACTCCCCATCTTAGCCTGTTAACGCCATCTTAAATGCCTGCATTTTAATTTCCACCCTCCGATTACAATAGTCTATAATTCTGAATTTGAAATTCATGAATGATGCATATTTGCAAATCGTTAAGCATATATAAATAGGCTTGACGTGGTCTAGGGATGTTGGTGTTTTAAAATAATTGGGGGAGAGTATATATTCCCACAATACGCATTGATCAACGGATGCCAATAAGATTAGGAACACTATAGATATTGAAGTATCCTTGCACGAATTACACCCAACTGAAGTGCACATCTATTGAACATTCTTTCAAAATACTAGGTCAGGCACTGAAATACAAATCTTTTGTACATCCTTTCAAAATACTGTATTAGGGGATATTGCAACATTACAAGAGCAGATTGGTAAGTTGCTTAAAGTTCAATCTGACATTTGCCACACGTCTTTAGATAGCAACCCTGTTCAACCTTTGAACGCTAAACAAGCCAATGATGCTAATAAGAAGACTAATAACGCCAACTCCAACTTAATTACCAATTCCACTTCTCGAAATACTGCGAGTCAAAACACGGTGTTGACTAATACTTCCAATTCAACGCGCATGAGTGGAAATTCGACAAGCATTCCACCGCGGCACGAGATTATCGAAGTTGCTAAGAAACAACTAATGTCTATGAAAAGCGCTAGTCCGCCATCTTTGGATTGCGACCCAAAAGTCGTCAACAGACCCCCATCTTCTGATTCCCCGTCGTACTCATCTGTCACCGCAAATAATAACGACAAGTGGATTACTGCTGGTCCTAAAGGACGTCATTCTCCTGTTCCCGAACGCCCTAATTCGTCTCCACGACGAACACTTACAACCAATAAAGGACAAAACCGTATTAAACTGACTGGGGTCAAAGAGGTAAAATTCACGCTTGTTTATGTTAGCAATATTCGAAAAGATTCCAATGTTTCAGACGATGATATCCGTTCTGCGATCGTTGACCATGCCAAGGATAAGGGAATAAGAGTCATGAAGGCCGATATTGTACACAATCGTGTATGCGACGATAAAGTCGGATGCAAACTTAACATCCCCGAATCCCAAGCAGAGATAATTCTTGCAACCAATTTTTGGCCAGACCCGGAAATTGGATGCCGTGTATGGCAGCGCAGATCTACCCAGCGCTCAAACTACAATAGTCAACGGGGTAGTAATTTCAAACATATACCTGTAATCACGGGTCATTATTCCCATTCACATGGGCGATCATATGATACCTATGAGCTCGGCCGCGACTCAAACGGCTACTACAATAACAATAGATATGGTGAAACTATTGACGAGGATGAGCGACATCTTGCAGTTTAGGGGTATACAGTGTATGGATTCCATGAAACCAATACATCTGTGTTTCCTGCTATTTTATTTTCTTGCCCATATAAATATTTTTACTTCCCATATGAATGCAATCAACACTTCCCAAAATGTTCTATCAAATAATGATTTGAGACTCATACAATGGAACTGCAGAGGTTTAAACGTATCGTCTCTATATATTAATTCTCTGCTATCACAATGCGATATAATGGCTCTCTCCGAGCATAAACTTTACAATTGTAATAGATTTAAGTTGGACTCCGTCCATCCTGACTTTAATTGTTGTAGCTCCAGTAGCAAATCTTTAAATGATTTTAATTGCGGGAAAGTATGGGGCAATGGTGGTGTAGCTATATTTTGGCGCAAATCATTGGATAATTATATTATACCTGTTAAGAAAATGTGTACCGATAGAATTGTTTGCTTAAAGGTATCGGTCGTGGTAGACTCGCCCTTGTACATATTTTCAGTATATTTGCCACAACAAAACTGTGTGATAGATAATTTTGAAGATGTCTTATTTTCACTTGAACAATTTGTTCAAGAAGCAAATATTGATGGCAATGTAGTTATTCTTGGTGATGTCAATAGCAATCTAGGTCAATTAACTGGAAGAAGGGGACACGGAGATACATCGAGCAATGGCTACAATCTGTTTGAATTTATGAAGCGGAACATCTTAACTGCAATTGACATGACGGAGATAACTACTGGTCCAACCCACACTTTTGAAATGATGAGGAATGAAGTACTACATGTGAGCTACATTGATCACGTGATTATTTCTTCCCAACTTGCTAATAATATACTTACCTGTAAGGTGTTTGAAGATGAACCTGACAACACATCAGATCATCTACCGATTTTAACGATTTTAAATTTTGATGTTAAGATAAACAGACGGTCGAGTATACAAGCGCCAATAGGATATGCGTGGGATAAGCTCAGCAATGACGATATCTTGGAATCATACACTCGTTCAATTAACTTACAATGTGATGATATTGTATCCGAGCTACATTCTATCATGTCTAAAAGGTCTCTG